GCTGCTCTCTGTGCCCCTCTGCTCGGACGTTGGAGCAGAGCGTCCAGTCCCAGAGAAAACGCCCGCTCTGGGACCTGCGCGCGTGACCAGACAACGTTCCTTCCCCGGGAACGTTAACGTGACCGCGAGCCCGTGGACGCTCGAACCCCCGTCGGGGCCGGTCCCAGCTCTGCTGTCCGTTTCCGTGCGCATCTCCCCGGGCCCGGCCCCACCTGTCAGCCGGGCGCGTGTCCGTGAGGTTGTCAGGGGAACGAAGCGTCGACCCGCGTAAGACGTGCACCGAAGGGCCGGGCTTGGCGTGGGCGCTGCGATCGGCATTACTCGGGGTCGAAGGCCCGCGGCCCCGGGGACACGTCCCATCGCCTCTCGACTTAGCTCTTAGCAGGAAGTCACGCCTTGGGGCTCTTTTTCCAGACGCCCACCGACGCCTACTCTCGCGTCGTCGCCGGCCTGGCGGAGGAGAGGAAGCGCTCGCGGGGCGCCAGGCTCGTCCTGACCTACCTTCGCGACGTGTCCCGGAGCTTGCCCAGCGAATCCCTCTCGCGGGGCACGGCCCTGAACCTCACCGAGGTAAATGTTTCCGTGCCTGGGGGACTGGGGACGGCAGACGTGGCCGACACATCTGTTCCATTTGACCTACACAGAGTTAAAAAAAAGGAAAATTAGGAGCTTTTTCATAAAAGTCTGGATTTTGGGCTCGTCAGGAACGACCGGATGGTGTGTCGGCTCAGCCACCCCGACAGCGGGGTGGGGTCCCTGCAGGGGACACGTGGGTCCTGTTTTGGTTCCCCCACGCCCGGCCAGCCCGCCTGGCCCCTTGGGCGTTTGGTTGTAGCTCGTGGCGTCCACTCCGCGGCCCTCGGCACCGGGCAAGAGGGGGCCGGGCCCCGGGCAGGTGGAGCCGTGGGGCCATCGGCCGCAGTCCGCACCGTGTGGCCAGCGCTGTGACCTGCGTCTCAGCGGGAATCCCTGAGCTGTCCACAGCCCTGCGTGAAGGCACCGTGTGCACGTTGTCATCGAGCGCTCGCTCGCCGGTGTCCTCAAAACACTGCCCCGGCCCAGGAGGGGGCGGTCCTGGGCTGGCGTGGGCCTCTCGGCCGACGTGCGGAGCGAGGGGACGTCGGTGAGGACGGGGTTCAGAGCGGGCTGCCCCGGGTCCGACGGCCAGTGCCGCCCCCAGGCATTTGCCCTGTGCCCGCGGCCACCTCACTGTCCGCCGCCCCACCTCACGCCCTCCCGGGAGACGCAGAGGGGTTGGCGGCCATCCTGGCGTCCCCGTGTGCGGAACGGCGAGGGCACCGCTGAGCTCTTCCCCGTTCCTAATGCTTTCCGGCTCCCTCGCTGAGCACAGGCCCAAGGAGGCTCGTGGAAAACCGCGTGCGGCGAAGCAGGACCCACCAGGCATGGGGTCCCGCGAGGCTTCCTGCCCAGACGGCAGGAGTGATAGCTGAGCCTCTCAGCTGTCACTCGCCCGTCCACATAACACGCTGGGCCCGGACCCGGGAGGGCCGAGGACCACTTCCTGTCCGGGAGGCTCAGGGTCGGGGGGCTGACGACAGACCCATCGGGGCACAGAGTGTGCCGAGCTGGGGGGGCCCTGGCAGACCCGCTTGGGCCCCTGCCCTGCGCCCTCGGTGGAGTCATCCAGCCTCTGCGAGCCCCACTTTCCCCACCTGTGACCCGAGGGTGCTCTGGTCACCCAGGCCCCTCTGAGAGCATGGCTGGTAGATGGGCCAGAGCAGGTGACACGAGCTTGAGGCCGCACGCTAAGCAGTGTCCCTCTGTCTGCCCCTAGACCTTCCTAAGAACCGTGGGAGAGCTGCTTCTGCTGCCCAGCTGGACCGCGGCATCGGAGGTGAGAGAAAGTGCCCTTGACCGTCCACGCGTGCGCACCTGGGGACCATTTGTCGTCCCGCCCGGGGCCCAGGTGCGGCCCGGCTCACCTCCGTGAGCAGCGCTTCTCTCGCCCAGCGCCCGGGCGTCGGAGCTGGTCTGGGCGCCCCGTCCTTCCAGCGGCTCGAGCTCCACGTGGGCAGTCGCGCTGCGTCGCCGTCCTCCGCTCGGTGCAGGGAGAGGGTCGCCTTGCTCGCGAGGGACGCTCACGCGCGGCCTCGTCTGCCACCTTGACGACGTGTTCTTTTTGCCATCGCGTTGAAAGACCGTGAGGCTGGGTGGGAAAGGTGGACACGGGGCAGCATGTGCTTCCTGACCATGGGCGTGGAGGACAGAGCCGGCCCCGTGTCCCTCTGCACGCGGGGGGATTAGGAAAAAGTGAGGAGGCATCTTTTCTTTTTTTTTTTCAAAGTGGCTTTACTGATTTTACGTACTTAAAAAATGATGCCCGTGAATGAGCTGTGAGGTTCGAAAGGGCAGGTCCCAGAGAAACGCGAAGCGCCCGAAACCGTGAGTCCGAGCGACAACGGTCACTGATGCTCGCGTGCAGACCGTACGCTCCGGCTCCCAAGTCACTGCCACACAGACGCGTTCTGCCCACAGACTTCTCATCCGACGTGCCCTGTTTTTCCTTAGTTAAGTCAGGAGCACTTCCCGGTGCTTCTAAGCGTCCCTCTGCCTGCCACCCCGGCCAGGCTGGGTGACAAACGGGCCCTGCATCTCGGCGGCTCAGCCCAGCGGGAATTCACTTCTCGCTCATGCGAAGCCCCGTGGGGGTCAGAGGAGCCTCTTCTCAACCCAGGGACCTGGGACGCTGGCTCTGCCTGTCTTCCGATGCTTCCGCCTCATTGCTGACGTCCAAGGTCGCCCGGCGGGGGCGGCGAAGGCCGAGGGGGCCCCTGACCGGCTTGCCCAGAGGGCTGCAGCCACACCAGCGCTGTATCGAGGCGCTCGCGCTGCTGCAGCCGTAAAAGCATAAAGCCAGGCGGTAGGACGGCGCACTCATGCACCGACAGAAGACGTTTTATGGCCGCCGGGAAGGGTGAGGACGAGGCCCTGAGTCCGTGCCGGCTGGAGCCCGCGAGGACTCCTTCTCCCGTCCTCGACGAGGTTGCACGAGGGTTTGCATTTCACGGAATTTTATAGGAGCTGTTTCAAATGCAGTGAGATTGGACTTCACATTGGCAAAGGGAGAGAAGAGGGGATATGAATTTAAGATCGATATAGTCTTACCTAGAAACAAATCTTTTAAAAGCTCGATGCTCCAGGGGCTGCCGTGTGCCGGGCTGAAGCCCAGGGCACCCCGAGGACGCCGGTGGAGGACCCGCACAAACACACCGAATCAGCTTTCTCCGAGGGCTCTGCCACAGCGTAGAAATAATCACGAAACGATTCGGACTAAGGCGGGCTCCAAAGAGCGTGAAAGAGAAGGCAGGAGTCAGCCACGACCCGCAGAGCCGCAGGTGCCAGAGCAGGGCCGCAGGTGCCAGAGCAGAGCCGCAGGTGCCAGAGCAGGGCCGCAGGTGCCAGAGCAGAGCCGCAGGTGCCGGAGCAGGGCCACAGGTGCTCACCTGCGCTCGGCCGATGGCGGCCGGGCCCCGGGCCTAAAGTTGGCCTCTGTGTCCTGTTCCCAGCTCACTGGGTTCTCGTGAAGCCTGCGTTTGTGACGGAATGCTGGGGGCACTTAGCGGCAGGCAGAAGCTTTCTCAGGAAGGCGGGAAGGGGAGAAGGGGGTGACGGGGAGATTAGCAGCCGCCGCCCTCTCCCTGATAGACGTGTGTCTGACGACACGGGACGATCCGCCCGGAGCGAACGCGTGGGCACCGAGCTCTGCACGCTAGGCACTGAGCTGGCTGCAGAGATGGAGGGACCAGGAGGGACCCCTGCCTCCTTGGGGGCAGCGTCCACTGGCATCCTCTCTGCCTTGGGACCCAGAAGGGGTGACGAAGGTCCTTGGAGGGGAGGGAAAGTGCCAGGTGGGTCAAAGGGACTAGAGACAGCTTGGGGTGGTGGCGCCTCTAAAGCTTCTTGTCCCTCAGAGAGTAGGATGGGTCTGCTGCTGTCCTCGTGCCAGAGGCGACTCGAGGCTGACCAGCCCCTCCTCGCGGGAAGGGGGTGGTGGGGAGGGGGCAGGTCGGAGACCTGCCGAGGTCCCTTGGTGAGTTCAGAGTGGAGCTACGACCTGGCCTGCCACCTGTGACTGGGCACAGACACCTGGCTGCCCAGGTCCACCTTCGCAGAGCTCGGTCGGGCTGAGCGGTCACTCCCGCGCCTGTGAAGTGGGCGGTGGTGGCACTGCCTTCCGCCCCGCGTCACCTGGCCTCAGTGAGGACAGAGCCCGGCCCACGACAATTCAGCAGATGCTGGCGTCCGTCCTTCGCGCCCATGCACGGCGTGTGCACGAGCTTCCGCCTGTGCGTCTGGCACGTCCGTCCCGCACGGCGGCTGAGCGAGACTGGTCTTCATCTCGCTCCTGCCGTGTCGTTCTCAGGACTCCGCCATGGTGCTGGCCTTGATAGAGACCGTGGACTCCGTCATGGACCACATCGCCTCCCACCTGCACACCAGCGAGCCCCAGGTCACCGTCACTGGCTCCTCCTCCATGGCAGGTACCTGGCAGGTCGGCGGTGTAGACAGGCGGTGCAGGCGGGGAGGCAGGGGGCGGCTTCCCTGTGGACCGTGCCCCCCGTGACGCTGGTGCTGTCGCGTGCACACAGATACGCACGCGCACACACGTAGACTCGCGTGGAGCCTCGCACACCGCAGGCATGGACACCTGCTCTCTGTGGCCTTATGTGAGGACAGTGAGATCCCGGGGTGTGTTCGGCCGTGGTGTGCTCGTGGGACCACGTCAGCGTCTGGCGGCGACTCGGGGTCCAGATTCATGCTGTGGGGCACTGTGTCAGTTCAGAAACGAGCAGACATCAGCGGCTCCTTCAGATGTCTGTGGGAGGAAAGGGGCAGAGCCGGGGTCCCCAGAGCCACCTGGGGCTTGGCTTGAGTCTGCATGGCCGGGGTCACTGTCACGCAGCCCCAGGCCCTGCTGTGTAATGTCCAGGGACACGGCGCTGCCGATGCCTGTCCACAGCAGCCGACCCTGGAAATAAGCCAAGTGACCCACGTGGGTTTTGTTACTGGAGCCTGTCGGCCAAGGTAGCTGCCTCCATGCAGTGACACTTGCCTGATGCCTAAAAGAAGTCCCCACTCAAGTGTCCCCACTCCTGTGTCTCACGGGGTCCCCCAGAGCTCGGCGAGGAGGAGCCCCCTCACACGACTGCACACAGTCAGGGATGAGAGGGAACGAGGGGCCTCAGGTGGAGAGCCCCCTGGGGCCATGTGGTCACAGGGTCACGCTCCCCGGGCTCGTCGTTCTGGGTCCCCATTCCCTAAGGCTGTCGTGGCCCCGGGCCACTCACTGCCCGCGTGCTGACCGCGCCCCTCTCCTGCCCTCAGAGTTCTCGGTGGCCCGGCTCCTGCCCAGTGCCGCAGATGCCTCCCACTACCGCTTCCCCGCCCAGGGCCACAGCTACATCGAGGTCCCGCACGAGGCCTTCCGCAGCCAAGGTGAGTGCGCTGGCCGCTGCGGGGCATGGCCTCCGCTCTCTGCAGCCCTCAGCCCGTGCAGGGCCGTGAGCTGGCACCTGGTGGAGGTACTGGCCATGGGCCTCGCCTGCTCCTGCAGGGGCTCAAAGAGCACCACGAGAAGCTCCTGAGACGGTCAATCGCGAGCTGACCCAGTCCCCTCCAGCCTCATGGAGCAGACCTGGAATGCGGGCTGAGAACCCGTGTTCCGACAGCCTCTCCGGATGACCGGTCCCCCAGGAGGGACTCTGTGCATCCTTCCAGGTCTACGCAGCTCCCCTGGGCCGAGTGTGAACAGGCGTGGCCCCTTCCCCTCCCCCGCTCAGGGAGGCCTCTGGCCGGTTTGTCTGCTCAGGGGCCGGGTTCTCCTCCCATGCAGGTCCGACAAGTGGCCAAGGGCACCCAGTTACCATCTCTGCCTCTGGGAGCTCCAGCAGGGGCCCAGGTGGCTCTGGCCATTTTTGCCGCGATGACTATTGGCCCTTCTGGTCCCTTGAAAAATGACTGTGCCTTCACAGGCATGTCCCTCTGTCCCAGGGGACCTCAGGCAATCAGGGGGAGTCAGGGAGTCTCAGCTCCCGACACTCTGGCCGGAGGACACGTGATTAGAGACTGGGGTCCAAGGCCAGCCAGGTGGTGTGGGACTGTGGCGTCCTCACCCCCGCAAAGAGTCCTCACTCGCCAGCCCTCCGGGCCCACCTCTGCCCCCTCCACCGTCTCGTTTGCCTGTACGAAAGGTGCAGAGGGCTGTCAGAGGGTCCAGCTCCCAGGGGACCATCCCCCACATGCAGGCGAACTTCAGAAATGGGGGCGCGACGACGCCACGGCCCACCGACCACACACACGACCCCCCTCGCACCCACTGGGCTGTGTGGTCTGTGAGGGAGCCTTGAGTTTCCAAAATCGGCCACAGCCTCAGGTCTCCTCCATGTCCACACGTGGACACCTCTGACATGGGCAGTGGGCTGTGCTGGTCACGGGCACCAACTCCGTGGCTGGAACCCTGGGCCTGGGTCCTGGTTCAGCCACTCACCGGCCGTGTGGCCTCGGGCAAGCTCGATCCTGCCTGTGTCTCAGGGTCCTCATCTCTAAGATGGGGGCGGCCTTCGCGCCTGTCCCGTGATGCTGTCGTGAGGATCAAACGGGCGAAGCCCTTGCACCATTTCGTGCCACACGGTATGACACGAATCACTAAATACGTCCCGGAAATTAGTGCACTCAACGACCGTCCCTGAACGGCTAAGCAGCTAGCAGCTTGCCCCCCGCCACGCGAGCGGGGTGACTCCTGTCAAGGCGGGCGTGTGACAGAGGCGGGGCCTGCGTCTGCTGCCTGCCAGAGTTCCTGTCACTGCAGGGCAGCAGACGAGGTGGCTCCGGGCCTGTTCGCTCGCGAGTGTCCTCCCCTTCTCCCCCCGGTCCTGGGCGTGAGGGTCTGCGTTGCTGGACAAGGGGGTCTGCGTTGCTGGACGAGGGGGTCTGGCTGGGGCTTTGCTCTTCCGCTTCTCGCCGGGGATGTTGACCAGGATCGCCGACCCTCCGCTTTTCCCCAGGCTGGACCACCATCGTGGGCCTTCTCTACCACACGATGTACCATCACTTGAGCCACATCCGGCCGGACAACACCAGGTGAGTCTCTCGGGGTGGGTGTGCGCGTGCTTGTGTACAGGGTGGCTCCCCTCTGTGACACCCCCACCTCCCACCTTCTCACGCGTGCACAGCGCGTGTCAGAGAACTCGCGGGGCCTCACCGCTAGAGCGAGGGGTCGCCATCGCCCTTGGAACTCCCACTCGGGGCCCAGCAAGCCCCGGGGTGAGAGTGCGATGCCCAGGAACACAGTCCGGGTCGCCGTGTCGACCTGCCTGGAATGAGCCGTGTGAGCCTGGACACACGACCCATCTGAGCCTCGGTTCCCACCTCTGCGGGCGGGAGGGGAGCGGCACATGCCCACGCCCGTCAGGACTGTGCCGGCTGCATCGGCTTCCGCAGAAGGCTGGGAGCGGGGGGCTCATGGGGCCGGGAGGCAGGAGCAGGCTGGCTTCAGGCGTGGCTGGACGCAGGGACTCGAGGTGCTGTCTAGACCTGGTCTCTCTGCCTCTGGCCTCTATGCTCCTGTGTCGGCCCATGTCCAGGAAGGAGCTCCACGGAGGCACGGTCAGCTCCGGTAGCTTCAAGCCCACATGGGTTTGGGTCCTGACATCTCAGAAGGACAGGAGCCTCTTTCCTGAATGCTCCTGGGGAAACCCAGGGAGGTCTATGATTAGCTCGTTAGGGTCATGTGCCCATTCTGGCCCCCAATCATTGTGGCCAGAGGATCCTGTTCTCTCAGTGGCTAGCTCTACTCCCATGACTGCTCGTGGAAACCCAAGCAGAGCTGCGATGGGTCCTTTTGGGTCGTGTGCCCATCCTGACCCCCATGATTGTGGGTTAGAAGACCCTGCCCTCTCATTGGCCAGGCTTACTCACATCACCTCCTGTGGAGATCCAAGGAGAACTGCGATTGGTCCGTGTGGGTCATGTGCCCAGTTCTGGCCCCGCCCCCTTCATAGGGGCCAGAGGATCCTGCTCTCTCATTGGCCAGGTCTGCTCATATGACCCCCTGGGGCTTGAGGGTGGATCAACCCACTCAGACCTCAGAGAGGGGCTGGTTGCCCCCCGGGGAGATTAAAGAGGCCGGATATCATCAGAGAGGGGTGCACTCTGCCCCTTTGACGGGGTCCCTGTGAGGGTCGAGGGGCAGAGCCCAGGGCCCGTGCCGAGAAAAGGTGTGAGCTGAGGGACACGTTTCTGCACTCGGTGTTTGGAGGGTGAAGCCATTTCTGAGGGGCTCCGTGGAGGGCGGCCGAAGCTCCTCTCCACCCCTGGTCCCGGGCACCTGGCCCTGCCCGGCCCAGAATAGGTGCCAGGAGAGAGAGGCGTGCGCCTCACGGCACCTCCCACTGCGGGACGGGCCTGGGGAGCCGGCGGCTGAGGGAGGGC